TGGGAGAAGGGTGCGCAGGACGAGACACCTGGCTGTTGAGCTTGGAGAGGTCAGTGGTGATCCGAACACCACCTTTAGGTTTTGCGACGACTACCATAGGGTGACACCATGGAGACGGGTCATCACCGGCTGGTGCAATAATTTCTTGGGCGACCATGGAGTCCAGCTCGTTTTTGACCACATCGTGGAAGGCCAGGGGAACCAGTCGAGGGGTGTAGATAGCGAAGGGCTTCGCGTCGTCCTTCAGGTGGATCCTCATGGGGGGGCCTACCATCTTCTTGAGAGGTTTGGATTCCAGAGCGGACTTGGTCACCAGAACGTCGCTGAATTCCTTCAGGAAGTACTTCCGAGCATCCGAAGGAGAGGTGTCACTGGCAAGAGGCAGGGGTAGGGCGGCAGCAGGGTAGTTGCTGCTCCCTTCGTGCACCCTGTTGGCGTGTTTTACCTTGAGAATAGGTTTGGGGAAGCCCTGGGAGATGATGGCCAACTCTTGACAATGTCTGTAGGACAGCAAAGGAGTCGGGACACCGTTATGCACATCAATCCAGGCTTGACACAACCTGTTGCCAAAGGTGACTTGTGCTTGGAGTGAACCTAGGGCTGGGGCCATCTGTGAACCATCTGCCGTGAGGCGGAGATCCTTGGGTGGCGGTCCTAGATCACTTGGAGAGAGCCCCAAACATTGCAAATGCTGGGAACCGATGACTGTAGCATCAGCGCCGGTGTCGGGCAACATCTGAAGATGGGATGACACACTGCCATAGGTCATGATGATGCTGATGTGCTGGGGAACTTTGGTCCTGGGACGCGAAGGGGAGCACACCTTTCTAATATGGTTCGAGCGTTGTCCAGGGTCGTCATGCTTCTGATTGGAAGACTGTAGGCGGCCCTCACTGGTGGAAGGGCGCTGAAGCTTCCGCCGACGCTGTCCCTTGGGTTTGTTGGTTGGGCAACACTTGTCATAGTGGCCCAGACGACCGCACACATTGCACTGGACGCGTTTGGCTGGGCACTGTACTGTGAGTGACCAGTGGCCCTTACGGTCACAACTGCTGCAGGTAGACTCAGCAGCTGGACACACCTGTGTTCCATGCTGCTTACCACAGTTGTTACAAAAGGAGCCAGACGTGGGCATGGTGGGCGAAGGCGTTGGAGTAGACTTCTTGTCCTTCTTGTACCGGGACACAGCGCGTACAGCTGTAGGGGGAGCTCGGATGGCAGAGGTGGCACACCTGGCAGCCTCATAGGAGCGACATATCGTCAACACATCCTTAAGAGAAGAGGAAGAGTCGAGGGAGGTGAGGCGTTGGACAAGCTCCTCGTCCTTAACACCCATCAGGATCACCTGCTTCAACTGGGTCTCCTTGCACTGCTGGTGGTTACCTGGGCATATATCGACCTCTTCCGAGGCTCTCTTGAGTCGTACATAAAAGGCATCAAAAGTCTCGCCCTCCATCTGTCTGCAGCTAAACAATTCCCTCCTGCGTAGAGCTTCATTCCGCTGCCCTTTGATGTGCTGTTGTAGAATATCCAGTACCTCCTTTACAGATAACGAAGAGGTCGGAGGTACCTGCAACGTATGTTCCAAGACACGCTGAGTTTCCAAAGACAGGCACATACGCAGCTGAATAAGTTGTTTAGGCTGTGACAAACTCTGGAGATCCACCATTGTAGCATAATCAGTCCACCGTCGCCGCCATTCACGAAAAGTCTGGAAATTCACATCAGGCTTCAAGATGGGTGGTGTTTGAGCAGCTGCTTTAGATGGGGCTGGTGGGCGTGAAGAAAGCGTTGATGAGGTATCTGAACCAGTCAATACCGAGGCAGTGTTAGAGCCAGGGGCTTGGTTAACAGTGAGGCGAGATATCAAAGCTTCAAACCGTGCACTGTCTTCCAATCTCCATTGGTGGTCTCTTTCTCTGCCTCTGCTTGCCTTCTTTCTTCATTCTCCACAAGTCTTCTAGCTTTGTCCTCGTGCCTTTCATCCCTCATAAACTTCATTTAAGCTATTATCTCTGAAGACAATGCAGAAGATCGAGGTGAAGGGCTGCGCGATGTGGTGGGAGGAACTGGAGCGTCCTGTTCAGCCTGGTCATCTATCTCTGCAGAGCTGTCATCCAACTGACTCATTCAGGCGTTGGCTCTACAACTGCGTAAGGCACGAGACATAATTACTTAATCTGTGTACTGTGTCTTAAATCAGTGTTGACCGGTCAGCCTGTCGTATCAACAAGATCTGAAACAAAAAATTAATTAAATGCACAGATAAGTAGATTATATATATATAAAATATATATAAAGGAATGGCCGCAGTCAGTGGGTTCGTACGTGTGTGTGTGTGTGTGTGCGTGTCTCGGACAGTCTCGCTGTGAGGGGGTGGAGGCGGCGACTCACGTCTGTCGTCAGTTACCCTCCAGGCATGGCGAGGGGAGGTATACTCAACTCTTCTCCTCACAAATGCCCAGAACATGCCTTACACCTTGGGAATCCTTTAGAACAAGGTCACAGTTATGGCACTAAACACACAATGCACTATACATTTCACAGGAAATAACTGTCACTGACACTGCTCAAAGTTGCTATAAATTCTTTGAAGAGACGGCCATTAGCGGTGGTTGACACAGAGCAGGGGTCCATAAGCCGGTCTTGCCACAAACTTTCCACTTCACTTGTATAATGATCCAGTAAAATGACTCACTGCACCATGCATGTGTTCTGGGTATCAAGTTCTATCTACAGGAGCGAACACAAACACCTGTAGAGTTTTCGTAGGTTCTATTTACTGGATAAACAGAGATACACAAGGGAGGTAGCACTTCTTACTCTGTCTGGGGGTCAACTAGCCTTTTGGGCGACATGTGGTAAGTGATACATTAGCAGCTTCCATATGTCGCCAGGCACATTAATTAAGCGTGTGGGACATGGTAAATACATTGCCACACGCTGCTAGCTAGGCTGAATAAATAGTGTATATAAATGGAGCACATACATAATATACATATAGCATACATAATATACATACAATGCAAGTCGTCGAGATTGGGAGGATGAGCTGGAGCATTGTCAAGGATCAGAAGAATTTTGAAGTCAAGGTTCTCCTTGGGACAGTATTCCTTCAATGCAGGGACAGCATACACGTTTAACCAGGCTAAATGTGGCACTGGTTATCCATGCCTTTTTGTTTGCCTTGTAAATGACAGGAAGGTGGTCGCTCACGCGTCGGATCAGTGGTGAAGCATGGGGTCGGAGCAGGGTACTGGCCACTGTTTAGTGAACGGTGTGTTTACGCAGAACTGCCACACCATCGTTACCGGTCAGTGTGTGGTAGACTGCTAGGTAAGAGGTTCATGGCTCCCAGACAGACAAGTCGGCGACCGACGGCTGGACTGTTGTGTGTTTTGGCCGCTGGGATGATACTGAAGAAAAAACAAGAAAACGGACTGTGGACGGACTGTGTGGGTGAAAAACTGGTTAAGGAACAAATCGTGTGGTACTTATAACCAAATATTTGATGAAATGCAGCGTCAGGACACACAGGACGAGCAACGATACATTCTCATGACCCCTGTAATGTACAACACACTCTTGGATAAAGTGCGTCCACATATTTCCAGGACGGATACAGATATGAGGGACTCTATAAGTGGCAGGGACCCACGTAGGTGGCCACGCAACTATTAGGCTCCCACACATAACTGACCGGAAAGGGTTGGTGGTTCAGTGTTGCCGTCTACACGATCACTGCCTGAGCACGGCTTCATTACCATGCCTCGAAAACAAGCTCCGAGACTGATTGTGTAAACAAGACCTTAGAGTAACCTTGAAGTCACCGGCAGCGTTCGCGCCAAGCAACAGCATCAAGCCATCTTTTGCCCCTTTAAAACCTGGTGCTCTTTTCTCCTCCTTGGAGATGTATGTCCTCTAAGGCATCCTCTTCCAAAAGAGACCAGTCTCATCCACATCGAAGACTTGCTTCGGTGAGTAGCCTCCTTGCTGGATAATCTGTTTGAATTCTGGAGGGAATGTCTCGGCAACAACCATATCTGAACTGACAGCTTCACCAGTCATCTTTATGTTGTGGAAGTTATACTGACGCTTAAATCGTTGAAGCCATCCTCGGCTGGCTGTAAAGGTCTCTTCCTTCAATCCTTGACCCTCTGTTTCCTTCATACGGTCAAACAAGGATCTGGCCTTATGCTGGATAACCATAAGGCTCACAGGGGCATTGCATTGATTCTGGTCCTCCATCCACATTGCCAGCATCTTTTCCACCTTCTCTATCACTTCCAGCACTAACCTTAATCTTGTCAGTGTTGGTCCAAATCTTATGTAACGTAATGTTGAAGGGATATAATGTGGTAAGTGTAAGTATAAAAAATACTGTAATTTAGCTTTCATGTTTATTCAAGACATCTTCAGGTCCTGAGACCTACTAATCCCCCACCCAACAGTGGATGACCTGACATTGTATCAGGTCAGGTCAGTTACACAAGACCCGCTAATCCCCCACAGCTCCAATGGAGTGGAAAATATCAGTCCTTACTGTAACACAACTTTATTCAGACCATATCATATAGATTTTTAGTTTAGACTCTTGGAAAACTCCCTAGCACACAGAAACATTCTGAGGATGTGGGCTAGTGTTTGTCTGTGCAAAATGCACAGTTTAGACACTCGGAAAGTTTTTCCAGTAACCGGAAATATTTCCAGGGATTTTTCCTGATTTGAGAAAATAGTCTGGTTAACGGGAAATCTCTCGTTCCCTGAAGTGTTCTGCACCAATTGTTCCGGCTAACGGGGATATCACTGTAAAGGTCTTCCCCAGCTCCTGAGGAGGCAAGTAAAGCCTTCCCCTCATTCTACACAACACAGAAAGCAAGTTTTGTTGCTACATCTACAAAACTTGTACAGCAGCTCATAAATTAATCATGTTGTAGAAATGTTTGTATTGGGCAAATTTCAATCAAGATTATTTGCAGGGGAAAATAAAACACAATAAAATAAATACAGAAATTGTGATTTAAAAAGAATACATTTACCTGCAACAGAAATTATTCAAGATACTTCAAGTACAAATCATCAATTTCACATTCAATTTTGTGCAGTGTTTTCCTCCACACATTATACCGCTTCACATCAAATGTTACATCTCCGGATCTTGATAGAACATCTCGCCTCTCATTCACATACTCCACACTGCTAATCTGAAAGGCTTCCTGTGGCCCAAAATCTTTAGGAACAATTTTTGGTTCATTCTCTACCCTTACTTCTTCCAGTTCTGGTATTACTAAGTCAACATTTTTATTCTTTTTATGAGATTTTAACTTGTCTTCAAAACCATCAGTAATATAGGTGGTTACTTCTTTCATTTTGGTCAGTAACTGATGCTGTAGTTTTGTAACTTGTGAATGGTAGTCTTGGATATGAAGGACTGGATGCTGGATTTTAACATCACAAGGCAGTATAGCTGAGAGAGAATGTACCACCAACAATGCTTGCTCATCATTCCTGTAAAATAGGTTATTATACATATTAATAATACAGTAGACATGAACAACAATTACATATTAAATATAATGATTTTGGTGGAGCTCCCTTAATAATAATTCTCAATTTTTGTTTATGGAATTAGTCCACCCGGGCACAGGTCACTGACCCATATCAGGGTCTAGGGGCAAAAATATAATTATTATAACAATAATAATAATAATGATAATAATAATAATACACTTATAAAAATAATAATACACTAATAATAATAATTAATACAAATTATAATAAAAAATAAAAATGAAATAATAATAATAATAAAATTCTGTAATAATATTAACCATAAATAAATACAAAAATGAAAAAAAATAAATTAAGAGTGAAAACAATATACTGTATGCTAATTATATAATTATGTACAATAAAGGTGGGAGTTGCAAAAGAGTGCAAAAATCACTAGATTTCCTCACCGTGCTAAGATGTATAAATACCAAAAATATAATCCCCGTGGCACTTAATATTTCAGCTATTACATCACAAATTAGTGGAGCTTTCCTTGTGCATGTTTACAGCCGATTCGGCATACAGGTGGCAACCCCACGTCTCTTGAGTCAGCTTAGTGACTGCTCGGCTGAACTATGTCAAGTGAATACCGTACCAGAAAATGTTAGGAATAAATAGAAGCAATGGTAATAATAAATAAAAAAATAAAATAAAATAAAATATTGCACTGCCATTCGGTAATCATTTCACTAAACACGGAACACAGGAGACAGGAAACAGCCGAGAGATTCCTACGCCTCACCCCTCTTCCCAGATCCGTGTGCTAACTCTTGCGTATATAAGAAATATTTATTCCCTTTAAGTTTTTGACTTAAAATATTAATTTATTTTTATATTTTTTTGGCATATTCTTGATGAATGATTGTGTATATGTAACAAAGTACAAAAAAAAGGGGGTAAAATTATTTATACTTTCCTGAAATTCCCAGTTGAAAAATGACCATACCATAAGTCACAGCCGACACACACATACATGACCACTTGCCACACAGATACATCCATGCTCTTAATTTTTCTTACTTTCAATTTTTTCACCCTGTATTATATTTTATTTATTTCTAAGCCACATTAGAGTACTGTATTGTAATGTTTATTCAACATCCTTTATAGTTTCTTAACAATAGCAATGTGCCATCTTGACGGACATTATCCTTCGTTTAGCAATAATTTTGCTTAGTGTCAGGATATTCAGGAACACATCCTCAACATTAAATGAGGGCTACCTATATTACTACAGTAATATAACCATTATATATTATATTGGCACTGAGTTTCATACTGTTCACTTTGTTTCAAACTTCCCAAGTCCAGGTATAAAATTATTACCTTGCTATTTGCAGTGGTGGGCACAGCTAAACGAAAAGTTAGCTTCGCTAACCGCTGATCTGCTAACTAAAAGGTTAGCTTCGCTAACGCTAAACAGCTAAACAAATTAGCGGAAGCTAACACTAACTACTAACTTTTATTATATGAATTTAGCTTCATTTTGGGGGGGGGGGGCTCAAAACCCCTTAAAAACAGACCTAGAGAGCTGAAATTTTCATAAGTTGTCTTGTAGCTTAGACATAGAGCTTTCCAAAAAGGTATAGCATGCCAAGATCAGATGATGATCAAGGTGTACACAAATAATCAAATGAACAAATGAAATTAAACATTAGTTTACATTCAAGTTTCAACATACACTTTATAATCTTTATTTACTGTACGAAAAGACAGAAAGTATTAAACGAATCCAAAAACTATTGTACTGTATAGCATAGGTAGCAAATAGCATCATGCCAAGATCAGATGATGATCAACTTATCAAGGTGTACACTGTACCCAATTTCACAAATAATTAATTTGCATTCTCATACAACCTATCGGCCTTATTCATTATTCATGTAAATATGCAATACCAACCACATACACATTATATCAGTGCATTTTCATATAACTTATTGTTGGTCTTAGTCATTATACCAGTGCATTTTTATATAACTTATTGTTGGTTTTAATCATGTAAATAAACAGAAAACTCGAAACTTTAAAGAAAAGTAAGTTTTTAGAAACTTCTGTTTGGAGCACACCTTGGATGACATCCTGGTTATGAACTTATGCAGTACTTAGCATAACCAAATATATTGACACAAAAAAATCCTAATTAAATTAACAAATAAATGAGAAATGAAATTATACATTAGTTTACAATTACATTCTATGATTCTATCAACATACACTGACAGTCTTTATTTACTGTAAAAAAAAAAGTATTAAACTTTAATAATAAAAAAATTCCATTCGCTCAGCTGCTGCAGCGTGGCGTTGACAAATTATGTCTTGTCACGTTTACACGTACTAACACGCAATCAGCCAAGCGTTCCTGACTGGCTGTTGGAGACACGCGTCGCGGTGTCACACGCTTACAACAGACAGGAACAAACATGTATAAATTTTGTTAGTGGACTTAAAGTTAGCGGAAGCTAATTGATCCGCTAATGGTTTCCAAAGTTAGCGAAAATGCTAATCCGCTAAAGAGAGTTAGCTTCACTAATTAGTGGTTAGCGGAACCGTGCCCACCACTGGCTATTTGTAACCCCACTTGTCAGCAACAGATATATTTTAACACCCTTATTATATATTCACAAAGCATACCCTGATTATTCACAAAGGCATTATTTCAGATTATAATTTTGTTTGTTTTGATTGTTTTCTGTCCCATGCGGCAATTGTTTGGGCAAATTTAGTTTAATTTTCGTGTATACAGGTATTCCTTGACTTACGACCAACTCGACTTACGACCGCCGCAGTCGTATAAAATATTTTTCAAATTACGTACAGTACTTTCGAGTCCTGACGTTAGTGATCGCGCTGTGTACTGACAAAATTTTCATTTGCAATTCCCTTTACATTAGCTGGCAAGCATAAAAGTGAGAGTTCTCGTGGTGCTGAGAAAAAAAAGAGACACCCATTTTAGATTTTCTATGTATTATTTTTGCATTTTCGACTTACGACCTGGTTGTCGGTCCCTAACCCCGTCGTTAGTCGAGGACTGACTGTATACAGTAAACCCTCGAATAACAACAGTAATGTGTCCTCCAATATTGCAGTGTAAGGTCAATCATCGTATCACAAATCATTAATTACCATTAAAATAAAGCAATAATTATGAGATGCCTTCCCAAGTGTGACCTTTTCATATCTTTTGTGTGGCTTTTTACCCTCTTTTCCCCCCAAAACAACACAATTAATGAAAAATTAAAATTATATTCTTCAAATAATGTTTCTGAATGCACCTTAAACAATATAAATGAATAATAATAAAATGGTCAAACAAGAGGAGATGGGACGCCACTGTTTTCGTTTGTGTTTACAGCCAGAGTCCGGGATGATAGTTCTACACGAGAAAATGAAGTTTTACAAATGCCTCTATGCAGGCCTAACATACTCACCATCTTGAAGTGGTTTGAGATGACGTGCAATAACCTCAGTGATTTTATATCCTGCTTTAGTGAAGCTTTCACTGGCATTACTAAGGCTGGTGAATGTTTGCTGCTGAAGGTTAATATTTTTCTGGATGGCTGATGCTTTTGCCTTTCTCTCCTCTTTGTTGAAGGAATAGTACTTCGCCGCATGCTTTGTTTTGTAATGTCGCTCGTGTTACATCGCTTGGTTTTAGCCAATGTCTGCCGACAAATAAGGCAAAGATTTTTACTTTGGTGATCCGTGAAAAAGAAATCTGAGGTCCACTCAGGATTGAATAGTCTCTACTTAGCACATGATGCAGAGGCCATGATGCTAACTCCCAGAGCCAAAATGGTAGGACCCTGCCTGCAACACACCCACCCTCTTCATCAGTATGGGAAGAAGTGCTGTTCAGTAGGCTCTCACCAATAATGTTTAATAGGTGCCTGAAAAACACCGTTATTAGCGAAAACGTTCTTTGTGTGACATTAAAATACATGTAAAAAGGGTTTATTGGTGCCGCCGCCACAAGAATTTCACCCATTTTTTCCCTTGAAGCCCTCCTAACACTTTTTGTTAGCTGAAATAAAAAGAATTGCTATTCAATCATCAAAATAAAGAGTTTGCTTAATATAACACTTAGCTTGGGGGAGTTTTTGAGGTGCTTGGTGTGATGATTGTTCCGTATGTGAGGGCCTCTAACACTTGCACTGTCTTTCATTCTACAAGCTAACCATTTCACAAGAAAATGCTCTGCTATCACTAACAACCTGTTTCTATTGCTTTTATCATTCATAGCTCGCTTCGCATTTTCATCACTACCGAAATATTTTTAGCCAGCGCAATACTCTTCTTGGTCTCCTCTAAGTTCCTCTTAATATTTCGCACTGTAGACTCAGGACAGTTCAATTTCCTCACTTTAAAAGTTCCCAGTCATTCAGGTGGCAAATCACTCCTTCCACCACCTCCCCTAGCCCCCACAGGCATAAATGCGGAAGCCATTATTGATCACCGACCCTAACAACCACTGGTTATAGAGGCGAAAATCTCACACGTGGGCGCAGCGCTGTATTCCACTGAGCGTGTGTGAGAGTGAGGCGGAGAGGACAACTACGTCATCAACATGGCGGTAAACAAATGCTATCATTGGTGTGCTCGGAAGTTTCCCGCGAAATTTCCGTTATTCAAGAGAATCCAGACGTTATTATCGAAAATGGATATCTATTGTAACTTACCGTTGTTGTCGAAAACGTTATTGTGGAAGTCGTTATTGGCGAGAGCCTACTGTATGTGACACAGTGGCAGAGGCAAGCCATGGGAAGGGAGTAGTGTTGCCTCTGTACACGACAATTACCCCAATACAACTTCTGCCTCGTGAAAAGCACAACTGAATATTGAACAATATTATTGGGTCTTTGATAGCAGCCGGATTATGAAGAAATACTTGTATTGCTGTCAATATACTGAGTGTGAGTGAGTCGCTGCATGTGAACAATAATATGACAAGGAAC